GCGGCCTCCGGAACAATAAACGTTCGCAAACCGAGGGCCTCGTGTCGTGATGCTGCCTCGTGTCGTAGCTGCCGTCGCGCCTCACGTGCGCGGTGGCATCTGCGGGAGTTGAATAGCCGCCGGTGAGAGGCGGCTTTCGAGAGCGAGTGCCCCAAGTCCGCGTTAAAACGCGCGTTCTGTTTGCACGCCTGACGGGACTTCGTGGTTTGTGCTGCCGTTGCCTTCCGCGGGGCTCCTCTGACTGAGCCGCGTGTGTGGCGGGGCGCTGGGGAGATGCGCAGTGCTGCTGCTGGGGCCGCAGGTGAGGGCGGGAGCACCACGGGTTGGGGCGAAGCAGGAGTGCGAGCCCAGCGCCGCCGTGTGCAGCCTCGGTGCTGCGCTCCGTGCTGGGCCCTCACTGCAGGAAAGGCACCGAGGGCTGCAGCGTGTGCAGAGAAGGGCAGCGGAGCTGTGAGGGGTCTGGAGCACAAGTGTGATGGGCAGCGGCTGAGGGAAGCGGGGCTGTTCAGTCTGGAGAAGAGGAGGCTCAGGGGAGACCTCGTGGCTCTCTGCAACGACCCGAAAGGAGGCTGTGTGAGGTGGGGTCGGCCTCTGCTCCCAGGGAACGGCCATAGGACGAGAGGGGATGGCTTTAAGCTGTGCCAGGGGAGGTCCGGGTTGGATATTAGGAACAATTCCTTCTCCAGAAGTGATTCTGCACTGACACAGCTGCCCAGGGAGTGCTGGGCTCACTGGAGGTGTCCCAGAGCCGCGGGGATGTGGCACTGCGGGACGTGGGCACGGCGTGCTGTGCTGCGTTCGGACTGGATGATCTTGGTGCTCATTTCCAACCTTAATGATTCAATCAGATGGTAGAATAGCCCCAGTTGGAAGGGACCCATGAAGTTCATCAAGTCCAACTCCATGTTGTTCCTTGGAAAACAGGGATAAAAGTGTGATTTCTGGGGCTGTTTGAGCATTTTTGCTCCTTGAGCCCAGAAGGACGAGGCGAGGAGCCTGTCCATACCTGAAATGTTTCTCCTGTGTTAAAGCAGAGGAGAGAGAACCCCGTGAGAGCTGGGTGCTGTAGCTGAAAAGTGGTGCCAGACTTATTTTACAAGACCTGATTGTGGGAGGACAGGATCTATCACTGATGATGAGTTCAGAGTTTCTGAAGCAAGGACTGGCATCCTTAGCAGTCCTGCTTTCCAGAGGCAAAGCGTGACAGGTACGGTACTCATCTAACGATGGGTTGGAACGCAGGTTATGTTTTAAGCACTTGAATCCAGATGTGAGCACATCATTTCGATGAAAGCACTGTCTGGACATGTTATATGAGTGCTTTGGTCCTCCGAAGTGTGGGAGTGCTTTGTTTCAGCAGTAGCCACCCGATATAAAACCAAAAACCACCCGCTGTCTGAATGGATATCAACTCTTGATGATTTAACTTCAAATGAGTTCACCCCAAGTCTTGCTGTGAAGCTGCTAAAATCAGATGATGCCTGCAGCTGGTGGCAGGGTGCCTGAGGAATGGATAACCACAGGCACCTGTGATGGCCGCCGCTCTTCTGGAAGGTTATGGCTTCATTCTCTGTCAGCTCTGCTTGAGGTTTAAGTGAAAGACTGTGGTTCACAATCTGGAAATCTAAAAAGATTCAATTCTCTCCGTATTTAACATCTAAGGCTTTGATTCAGTGATGATTTGTGATGGATAGCTTTGAAGTCTTATTTGGAAGGAGTACTGCCTATGGTAAGTGTGTGAGGGATAGTAGGGTTTCCTCTGTCACCAGCAGCAGTGGGCCCTGGTGCTGCTTTTTGTCAGTAAAACAATGGAGAAAGATGCATAGACAACTTCTTGGCCCAGTAAGAGGTATTATTTATATCTGGAGGAGCTTTGAAAAGCAAAGCTTTGTAATTAGTATCAGTTACGTGCTTAGAAGTATTCCGTACCATTCTTGCAAGAGGTTGTGGCATAATTATATGTAATGCAAGTCGCTGGCAAGTCTCTACCTTTCTAAGAGCTAGTATAAATATTTGTAGAAGAAGAAAACAAGAAAAAGGCTCTAATAAAACTTATGCTGCCTCGGATGCCTTTTTTTTTTTTTTCTGTTCACTGTTATGTGGGCAGCAAAAATTACTTTCCTTGAGAAATTTAAGAAGTAATCTTGATTACTGAAGTTTACATACAGTGGGGGGTGAGGGGGGAAAAGCAAACGTTAGGCGGTCATCCCTGGTAACACTGATGTCTTGTGGTTTTGTTTTTTAATTTTTTTTCCCCTCTCCTAGCTGTTCCAGTTAAGATTAACCAATAAACTGTGACAAGAAGATGCCACCTTTCATCTTCCCAGCCCTAGATGGTATCAGCACAGCTGCTGCTTCTAACTGCAGGCTGTATATCGCCTTGCTGGAAGGCAGGGCTGCAATACAACGTTTCACTCTACACTTAATGGGAAACCCATGTGCCATCTGAGCAGACTGGTCCTGTGGAATGGCAGGCCAGTGTCCTGAGTGAGCAAAGATGATGGCTCCTTGTGGCTCAGCAGCCTGCAATCCAGCCACGGTTCAGTGCGTGTGCAAATGTTCTGAAGTGCCAGTTTATTAGTCTTGTTTTTAATTAATTTTGCAGGACTTGCTTTTAATTCATAAGAGTTGAGGTTTCATACAAGCTCTGCCCATGTGTCAGGTGGAGGTCAGCAGGGATGCCATGGCTATCCTCCAGCTACCAGCAGGGCACACACTGTTCTGTGTTAGTGCTCATCCTCACCAACCTGACCCCAGCTGCAGCAGAAGGCAGTTAGATGTAGTGGGCTGCACCTGCTTCTACTCACTGTGTACGTTTTATCCTGCAGCAGAGATATTCTCGAGTCTGTAGCTTGCATTTTATACACACTGTAAAGCAGCACATGTGCTTTTTGTGCTTTTTTTTTTCCTGTGTTGATGAGTTTTTCTGGTATGCTGTTGTGAATGCATAGGATCATGCAGAGGAGTTGTTTGGGTTTTATGGAGAGGGTGCAGCATGATATGGGAAAAATACAGCTGTCCTTGAATACCACCACAGGTGACTTTCACTGCATCCTTCAGTTATTAAAATCCATTCCTGCTGATCTTCAGTATTCTGTTGAAGTGTGAGGCTCTGTCCCTTCCACCCTCTGAAATAACAGCAAAACTCTAAGGGAGGTGGCCATGACCTGTGCAAATTAAAGGTAGAATGTGACTTTCTCCTGTTACTCAGCCTGTTGTAGAGGCACATAGAGGAGAGTAGCCAGCAATTTGCCTGTTGCAGTAAAGCTGGCGTTTTCATTTTTGTATTTCACCTTCCCATCTAAGTGAGTTTAGTGGGGGATCCTACTGTGCATTGCTGCATGCAGGTGCAGTGCCCAGCACAGTGGGACCTGCTCCTGTGGTTCAGCTGCTGCAAGAGATTCTAAAGCCAAAAAGCCATCTCCCCTGTTAACCTGAAGTCTATGCAGGGATGGGCTTGTCAAGTCTGGTAGTATGTTTGCTTGTTGTGTGTATCCTTTGATTTGCTTTCTAGGATAAAACCACACGGTTTCCAGCTGCCATATAATGATACAGATCTTGGGAAAGTTCTGAATTGCATTGGGAGTTTTCCTACAAAGCACAGGTTAGGAGACAACAGAGGACTGCTTACTGCTTGGTCGTCCTTTTTCCCCTTCCTCCTCATCTTAATGTATGGAAGTTGACAGAAAAGGGCAGCTGTCTCATCCACACTTCTGTGTCACTGCTGGGGAGCACCGAACCTCTTCCTTGTCACCTGGGTAGCCACTAATGCCAGCCCTTCTTGAGTCAGGGCAGCATCTAAGCCTCCTGGTCAGTACTGTTCTCTTACTGGCAGGTAGAGAATTGCTAGGGAAGCATCAAGGCCTGCAAGGATTGTTCTGCTGATGGCTTAGGAGTGAGTGGTAGCTGGAGGATAAAGGTCAAGAGATTCCAACTTTGCAGCTCCCAGGGACAGAAATATCCCGTGGCTGTTGGCAATTGGTGTGGTGAGAAGACAGCCAAGTTCATAAAGTAGAACTGTTCCTGGAACAACACGATGCATTTTGTTATTTCAGTAATTTGCTTGTGTGTTTTTCTCATATATAATTTTCCGGTTGGTTTTCTGTAAGGAGGCTGCTTTGCCTTTTCCTTCTTCCAGTGCTGAGGATGGGAAGGATGTTGATTTTGGAGAGCACTCAAGCTTGGAGCCTGGCTACTTAGCAGCATCCATGCAGCCTTTGTTCTTGTAGTTTTTCCATGCTGCTGGAATTCTGTGGAGGTATTGCTGCTTGCCACTGAATTTGGGCAACAGCTGTAGGTTTGTGTCTTTCAGTGGCTGTTTGGCAGCACCCAACAGCTTGCTGACTTTCATCAGCTTAATCTGACCTCTGTCTGCTGAGAAGGCATTAGAGTAGCTGAGAGCTGTTAGCCTATGGCTAGGGGTGTGTCTTAGTGTGCTTTTTTTTCCTGTTTGAAGAGTATTTTGAATGAGAGTGATGAAAGTAGCCTTTTTTTTCTTTTCTTTGAGCTTACATATTGCTGTAGTAACTATGTAAGTGATACAAAATGGGAAAAGTTTCTATCTGAAGATGTTTTTCAGGTTCTAGATGCTTTGTAAGCAAGGGCCTGCTCTTGGCATGTT